CACACACACACACACACACACACACACACACACACACACACACACACACACACACACACACACACACACACACACACACACACATATATATATATATATCGGCACCTCTTGCCATGTGTTCAGTTGATTTACACGTGTTACCGTGTGCTTATGCACATCTGTTCAATACTTTGGCTTTGCAGGCGAGAGGGTTCGACTGGGGATCGCTTGCACTCGTTCTTCCAAAAGACTGTCACGACACCCGTCAACTCACTCATAGGCACAAACAGCAGCGACAGGCGGAACAGTATGAAAGCCTCGACAAGCGATGAGCGGACACGCAGTGATTGGGGTCCAGGAGTGTATGTATACGTAGTCTGTTAATATATCTATATAATTGAAATAGAGTGTATGTATGTGTAAATAGTATGTGTATATATCTATATACCAAAATGGAATGTATGTGTATACAGCACGTGGATGTATCTCTATACTCATAATGGAGTGTATATGTATATGTGCATGTATGTTGATATATCAAAACCCTGTATACAAAATATAGGGTGTATGTGTGTATGGATCTTTATCAAATCTGTATATTTAAAAATGGAGTGGAATGGCTGCACCTGACGTGCATTGAGATTCATGTACGTGTAAATGTACATACGAAATGGCTAGTGGACGTGCATTAAGATTCATGTATGTGTAAATGTACATACGAAACGGTTAGTGGAACGGATTCTGTAACAACACACTTCACCACATAATATTGGTAATTATATATGTGTATCTGTATCGAAGAAATAGTTATAAACAGCACAACATTGGTAATCATGTACGTGTATCTGTGTAGAAGAAATAGCTATAAACAGCAACCTTTTCTGTACACTCACACTTAGCCACCTAAAATTGAAGAGATGCACTTTCGTATATTCAGAGACTTTCTGGTTTGAGTTAATTGGCGTCTCTGCCTATGTGAACCTTCCCTGTATCCCTTTTGCAAATATTCACACTTAAGATCAAAATGGGTCCTGTCGTACCAAAATAACCGGACAAGTAACCCCGTTCGCTGGAAAATGAGGACTTGGAGTACGACCTAACCCAATTTTTTGCCTTATTTTTGTCACAGAACGGCGTATGGGGCCGACTACACCGACTACCGCAGGAAGCTCATGAACATTAAGAATGTATGCTGCACCCATCCATGTGTCCAATGTTCTATTTTAGGTGCAATACATTACGGTTCGGGTTCAGAATGTTAGTGAACCCTAAAATCGGGCCACTATTTCATATTGTCCACTCGGTTAAGGGCCACTTTCAGGCCGATACTGTTTAAGATCGCGCCGCATTCGATCCTTTGTCTAGTTGTATTCCGATTCAAGGCCTGATCATATCTATAGCACGATTGTCTAATACTTTCAGCTCGTTTATATTCCACTTTCAAACTATTGCTTTCAACTCGTTTATATTCCACTTTCAAACTATTGCTTTCAACTCGTTTATATTCCACTTTCAGGCCAAAGGAGAACTAGAATAATACTAAACTATTGCTTTCAGTTCGTTGATATTCCACTTTCAGGCCAAAGGAGAGCTAGAATAGTACTAGACTATAGCATTCAGCTCGATTATGTTCCACTTTCAGGCCAAAGGAGAGCTAGAATAGAACTAGACTATTGCTTTCAGTTCGTTGATATTCCACTTTCAGGCCAAAGGAGAGCTAGAATAGTACTAGACTATAACATTCAGCTCGTTTATATTCCACTTTCAGGCCAAAGGAGAGCTAGAATAGTACTAGACTATAGCTTTCAGCTCGTTTATGTTCCACTTTCAGGCCAAAGGAGAGCTAGAATAGTACTAGACTATTGCTTTCAACTCGTTTATATTCCACTTTCAGGCCAAAGGAGAGCTAAAAAAGTACTAGACTATTGCTTTCACCTCGTTTATATTCCACTTTCAGGCCAAAGGAGAGCTACAGCAAGACATGGTGGTAGATCTGGAGCAGCTGATGCTGCAACAAGAAGAAGTCGATGACAAGCATGTGCGTGACGTTGCAATGAGTCATGTTTTTACAAAGCTTTACTTGGTTTGAGTATATTCGTTCTCCTTTTAAAACGCAAATGTTCTGTTGTATTGGGGCTGTTTTGCACAGCACCAGGTGCTGCATTGTATGAATATATTAGGGCTGTATTGCATGAACATAGCAGGGTTATATATCAAAGTTGTATATTGTATGAATGTATTATGGTTATGTATCAGGGTTATATATTGTATGAGAATATTGGGGTTTTATATCAGGGTTGTATATTGTATGAGAATATTGGGGTTGTATATCAGGGTTGTATATTGTAAGAGAATATTGGGGTTATATATCAGGGTTGTATAATGTATGAATGTATTAGGGTTATGTATTAGGGTTATATATCATTAGGGTTATATATCAGGGTTATATATTGTATGAGAATATTAGGTTTGTATATCAAGTTGTATATTGTATGAATGTATTAGGGTTATGTATCAGGGTTGTATATTGTATGAATATAGCAAGGTGGTATGGCACGAGGTCTGTTTCTACAGCATGTAATTCACTATATCACACGCAGCAGTATCCGCATTGACAGTTAACACGGAGAGAAAAGATATGTCACCCATCTATACCTAGCTAGGACCATTATAGATAAGCTAACCAAACTACTATATGCAGGCGACATTCACTCATTTGAAGATAAAGCATTGGGTTTTAGGGTTTAGCAGAAAGGGTTTTAGGGTTTTAGGGTTTTAGTTGTGTATGCGGAATGAGACAAGGTCAGTTGTCTAGTCCACGCAATCAATGGGGTGTGGCAGACCATTGAGACCTCAGAAGCAAACAATTACACACGCGGGTATGCAGACTTAAACAAGCACATCATGTACGTTCACGAGGATAAGGGGATCATGAAGGAGAAGAAGGTACCACACAATATGGTTTGTGATGATTTAGCCTGGTTGTCATATAGGAAGATAAGAAGATCGAGTTGCGCTGTGTATGGATGTATGTACACACACACACACACACACACACACACACACACACACGAC